ATGTCACAAATCTCTTAGTTTGCAGGATTGGGCCTATTATCGGGGTCTACACTTTTCTCTTGGAATGTGTAGTATTCAGGGTGTCAGACACGATTATGCAAATTATTGGAATAATGAGATCCATTCGGTCTCATTTTTTTTTGAAAATTAAAACATACTACTTTCAAAACCCAAACTATATATTTATTATATTAAATTAAATTTCAAAATTTATTTTTAAATTCATATTTTCATGATCTATCCAAAAAGTTGACCGACACGGCAAAGGTTTTGATATTGAATGGTGTCAAGTAAATGAAAGGGAGAGATTCTAGGAGAATGGAAAGGTAATGCATATAGAGGGAAGATGGGATGTTGTTCGGTGAAAGAGAATATTGACAAAATAAGATGGAGAGGAAATACATAAAGAGGGATTTAAATAAATTTGATTCAATGATGTTTTTTATCTTTATTACAATGCCAGTAGCTCTTTTATATGCCGAAGGCACTGATGCACGAGCAAAGTAATGCTACCTAATGGATAAGTATATCCTTATTTCATGATTATTTAGTCATAAGGTACATATGCAAACAATAAAAGAGGATTAATGCATTAATGTATATATGTAATCCTATAAAATTTGGATCATTGTAGGCTGTCATGCATTTTATGCTCTGCATCATATATGATCTGTTTTGAGTTGCTGTTTGTTGAACACTATCGAGCAACAAGAGATTAGCTTACCACCTTGTCGCTTTGTGTGTAAGCTTAAACTCTTAAATTATTCTGAAAGCAGATATCTTATGCTTGTAGACTTGTGTTCTTGCATATGCAAACAGATATGGACAAATAAATCCTTGGTATCCGTTTGACCTGATATTGGCCACTGCATTTGCTCCTCTTGGAACCTTTTGCCTATATTTTTAGGGCCCATTTGGCGTGGTCGTAGAGTTGCACTGCGGTGCTGCATGACTTTGGTAAAATTTGTTTTGCATACTTTCTCAAGAAGTTGTGGTGGGAAAGCTGTTTTTCACAACCTGATCAAACTAAGTGGGTGGCTGCCAGAAGCCACTGTTTGAGTTTTTGAAAAATAAATTAGAATAACCACCACAGCTTGTTGAATAACTAATAATTTTTCAGCAACTTTACATCTGTTTTTCAAACAACTACAGCAGCGCAAATAGACTCAACAGTCTCATTTGAGAAAACTTTTATACTGTTGTCAGTTTCAGAAAAAAAGCAATTTATTCATTTTGTAACGTCTTTGGTTGTTTTTCTTGATTAGGAACACTTTCAGAAAACCTCCATTTTCTTCCTAACGTTGTTCTTATTAAACTTTTAACAGCTGCTTTCTTCAAACTGTTTTTTAACAAACTTTTATAAAAAGAAAGGCCTGATCGAACAAAGCCTTAATGAAGTCCCTACCTTTTTTTTGTTACCGTTCAATTAGCTTGTTTGTAAAATTTTCAACAAGTACCTTGCCTCAAACCTATGTGTCTCTCTCTCTCTCTCTCACTTTTATTTTTCAAAATATATTTTGATTTCATGCCATCTAACATCTCCTTAAGCATATCCTTTTTTTAAAAAAAAAATTTTCTATGGTGTATGATATCCCATGCAGTGGTGGAAGGGGTGGCCATGGCGGTGGTGGAGATAGGCGTAGAGACAACTACAAAGACAGTGGTGGTTCTGGGCCTGATAGGAACTATCATGGTGGTCAGCGTGCAAGGCCATATTGAAGAACCGGTGATTCGTTGTACTGAGAAAGTGCTCTAAAATATACATTCCCAGATCACCCGAGTTATGTACCCTAACAGGAGCCTAAGGTAGGTTTTACCTATTCACTTAGGACTTCCTCTCTCAGTATTCTAAGTTGGATGAGAGTTAAGATAAAAACTAAATTGATTTGTGCTGTGTGGATGTTTGTTTCGTTTTTCTTTTTTATAGAGACAAGTGGATGTAATCTCCAAATTGCTGTTTAAGTTTGAAAATTACAGGTGAGTACTACCTTTTCCACCATTAATATAATTATGCTGGACTTGTAATTTTGTTTTTGTATCTGCAGGTGCATTGTTGCTGGGCCTTTTGTGTCGTACTTTATCATCTGCTTGCTTGTGTTTTGAATTTTTTTTCTTTACTATTGATTTGTTATTGATTTGGAAATTCAAGTGAGGAAGAAAAGGAGTGAATGAGGTCTGGCTGCAGTTTAGAATAAAGTACCAAAATAGTGCCCTGACTGTTTAATGGGTTTCATTTTAGACCCAGAGTCTATATAGGTGCCAAATTAGTTGAATATTCCTCATGGGGGCTATTTTAGCCCATATTGAAAAAGTCTAGGGACTAAATTGACACTTGTGTAGACTCTGAGACTAAAATGACTCCCTTAAAAGAGTCAAGGGACTATTTTTATACTTCTCTCCCGCAGTTTAGAATATTTTAGATTAATTTGTTCAAGCATAGAAAATTTAAGAAGATTTTTCTTGGAAGTCATTTATGTTTTTTTAGGCTAGGTGTGTAGGATCCACATACTAGGAGAAATCATGGGAGCTTAGCTCTTGCTCTCTTTAGGTAAGCTCAACTTATGCCAACATAAAGGTGAATTAGTTTGCTATGCTCCTCAGTTTTTGAATCTGAAGTTCTATTTAGCAGAAATTATGTATTCCTGTACTCTCACGTAGAAGTTGCGCTCGTCATTTGCGCCTAATATTTTTTCCATTTAGAGGCGGGTTGGCCAATGAAAAAATTTTTGGAGTAGACCTGTAGTTGATTGCCATCAACTTGGGTGCATTTCGTCTGTTTTATTTTTGTACATTTTATTTTTGGGGGATTTCAATACATACCACATAATTCCTATGTATTTACATATATAACACTTAAACTTTACTTTTTTACATTTTTACGTCCAATTTTTTCACATCACATCAAAAATACTACCATTTTAACTTTTCAGAAGTGAAATACACCTTTTCATGTATATGTAGAGTGGATGTAAAAATTAAAGTTTAGGTGTTAGATATGTCAATATATAGAAATTGAGTGGTCTATATGTATATCTTGTTTCTTTTTATGGCCAGCATCTAATGAGAACCTGTTTGAGTAACTGGTTAGGAACTTAATTTTAATTAAATAGCGTGGCACCTAACACCAGTTTTCTTAACAGACCTAGCAACTGGATCTCTCCCATGCATTGCGGAGATGTAGCCGTTGTTTTCTTTTGTGTTTTAAGTTGTTGTTGGAGTTGGTGAGATGCTTTTAATAAACATCTACCTGAATGGGGGATGCAAATTATACCAATAAGAGATATAAAGGTAAGCAATTCATTTCCTCTTCTATCAAATTATTTTAAATTATGCCTTTTTATGGGGACTTTGCATATACCACACAAATCTTCTGTAGTTACATATGTAACACCTAAAATTTTATATTTATATTGATTACAACCAAATTTTTGACACTCATAAAAAAATATCATTATTATTTACTTTTTTGAAAGTGTAAGAAGCTTTTCATGCATAGGCTTGTGACACCGAAGTGTTATAAGTGTAAATATCAAACTTTAGGTGTTAGCTATGTAAATACATAATAATTTTGTGGTATGTATGTAAATTTCCCTCATCAATGCATGACACCCGCCCGTGAGAACCATTGGATTTGTTAGGCGGTCATTAAATATTGTATAGTTTGGATTTTGTTTGCTTTCAAGGCTTCAGTTGCATAGAAATTGTGGTTTTGGTTTATGTTCTTTGTTGTATCTTTTTTTCTTTTAAAAAAAAATTATTTAAATAATTTGTGATTTTTTAATATATTTGAAATGCTGAACTGTGGTTTGGCTTGTGATTTAATATGATGTTTACCATGTTATGTACTGTAATAATTTTGATATTTTTATTTCACAGCAAATTGTAATATATTTAAAATAGTGGATTGTTTTATTTTCTTTGGAGCTAGATGTACGGTTGAGATTAATAGTGTAGAAATTTGTAATTTTTCAATTTATTATTTTTATGTATTAAATTTAGTTGTTAAATATAGCTTGGAGGTATGAGTGTTGAAAGTAGATGGAAACGAGTGTTGTTTAATTTCTCCACTGGCATGATAGATCGTTCGGTTGTCTTCGAGGGGCCGATTGGATGAAAATTTAAAAAGCTGTATGAATCAGACGATGATTTGTTACATTTTTTCTGCTTGTCTTCAAGGGGCCGATTGGATGGGAAATAAGTTTTTTATTCAGATAATAGACATTTTAAGAATTTTGGAGCTTGGTCTAAAAAAATTGCGCGGGCTTGGGGCTGAACTGACCCAATTGATTCAGTAAGCTGTCAGTTTAGCTGGCCAAACCACATCCCTCCCGCATTTTTTTTTTTTTTTTTTTTTTTTTTTTTTTTTTTTTTTTTTTTTTAAGTTTTTTTTTTTTTTTTTGGTATGTACGGTTAGTTTTTCGTATCGGAGATTTCTAATTAGCTTGCAAAAGACATTTGTTTTCCCGCCATCGGGCTATAACTCATCTAAGGTGGTGATATTCTCCAATGGTTCCAATGATTCGAATGGTGCTCCAACTGTAATTCGATTCAATCGGGATATTTATCCTTTCAACTCCCCCTTGCAATCCCCCTTCACTTTTTCCAGTGCCAAATCCTCAGCTTTGCTTCTAGCCTCCAGCCACTCCAAACCTTCCGTTTGGAGCAGCTCCAAGTCCTCCAACACTCCTGCACAACCTTCCCTCATAGTTGTAACCGCTGAACCACCAGTTCTCCCCATAGATTCTGGCTTTCACCGGCTCTCTCAAGTCCTTCCTCACTACTCTTGTCCAATCGCTATAGAATCAGGTGTGGTGCGAGGTGGTCCTCATAGATGCTTGCCACATTTTGTTGGGACCGTAGGATTCAACACGACATATTCAGAAACACCTACGCGTTCGCTAGGGTTGGGAAGCACATAGTGCTTCTCTCTTTGGTAGAGCCCGAGATCATAGGTGGCCTTGCCAGCAGAGCAGCAATAGTGAGACTAGTTTTGCTGAAGATGAAGTATGATTGAACTGAGACATCAACTCTAGACATGGGACTGTCACAACAGCGAGCATTTTAGGATATCCCGATCGATGCCTTACCACCACAACCACCACCATTAGAGGAGGTTCAGGTTACCCTCATTTCAAATCAACTTGAGCTTACATTGGGCTACTTTGAGCGAAGTTAGTATTATATGCTCATGCAGGTCCATCTCAGTTCAACAGTAAACCTTTAAAAGATTGAATTGATATGAATGTATGCTTGTAAGTGGAGAAAACTCTTTCATTTTTTTGGGACGCAACATGATCGATAGTGAGATCCAGGTGCTGCTGGGAGCGCAAACAAAGAACCAAAAGCGTCGTTGAATGAAGTGAGGGTTTGGAGTGTTCTGGTCAAAGGAAGGGGTTAGCCCCCAAGCTATCTTTTATTATCAATAGATTCTTTTTCTATTTTGGGTTTATTTTTGCTTTGAGGACTTCTATCTAGCTTGACGGCGACAGCTGTTTTTCCTGTCTAGGGATGTATTTCAGAGGAGAAGGCGTTTCAACAGTAACTCATCTGAGGTGGTGATATTCTCAAATGGTTCGAGGTGCGCTCATACTTTAACTTGATCCCACGAAGATATTTATCTTTTCCAACTCCCCTTCGTAGTCCCCCTTCCTTGTTTCAAGTTCCAGCCCAATCCACTGCTCCGCTTTTAGCCACCCGCCACCCGCCACCCAAAACTTGAGTGCTCCAACCAGTACTTCTGCTGCACAACCTTCCCTCACTCCCCAATGTCATTACATGTCTAACAACTAAACTTTTTTTACACATTATTTATGCTTGAAAAAGTGTATTTTTCTTTTTAAATGTATAATAGTGATGTTTTTTTATGTGATATTAACAAGTTTGGTGGTATAAATATAAAAAGTAAAGTTTAGTCGCTAGATATGTAAATGCAATTGGGTGGTATATATGTAAATGACCTTACATAAAACAAACTTTTAAAAGCCTATTTGGGGCAGTTTATTGGCACGGGTGGTGTTTAATTAAAACATTTGGGAAGCATTTTGGAAATCAGCATTTTTGATTTTTTAATAAATGGGTCCACGGGATCGACTTGCAGCTCTAGTCTTCAACTCGAGAAATTATTGCATACGGACACTGCCTGCATCTCTGCATGCGGTATCTGATCCTGACCATAGATCACGGTGATCTACGGTCAGGATTATTTCTATTTTTTTTAAATTTTTAGGTGGAGCCCACCAAAATACATCAATAATTTTTCCTTCAACTCAGCGTTCAAGGATTATTTCTCCCATGTCCTTCTGCTGTCAGTCTCTTCCCTCACTCCCCCTCTCCCACACTGATGGTCTTCAATGCTAGCAAATCACCGGTGATGCTCCTCCCTCTCGGTCCGTGTGCCCTCTCATTGCTGCATCCTATCTCGGCTCGCTCCTCTCCCACGTGAAAATGACACCTGCATAACTCCTCACACAAGAATGGCTCGCTCAGTCCGTCGTTCCCGATGGTGACATAGGCGGTAAAGCTCCTCGTTGGCGCCCTTCCATTCCCACGAGCTGGAGCCCCTGCGTTAAGACGCGCACTGCACAACCTCTCCCTCTCATGATCGGCCTGCACATGCTTCTCCCTCGTGTAGTACTCCCACATGAGAAGCCTATGTCGACACCTTCCTTGTCATCGACACTGCACAACTGGTGATTCCTCTTGGACCGAGCCCCTTCCTGAGGTCAGGTTGCCGACAATATCCCAATCGACCGACTCTCCTCCTAAACCCGACATGAACAAGCCTCTCACAAAGGAGAGATTATTGCGCACGGACACCGTGTGGTGTTCGATCATTGCCGTAGATCACGGTGATCTACGGTCAGGATTATTTCTGTTTTTTAAAAAATAAAATAAAAAATTTTAGGTGGGGCCCACCGAAATATATCAGGACCGTAAATCAGGTGATTTACGGTCCGGATCGGACACTGCACGCTTTCGCCAAGCGTGCGGTGTCCCATCCGTATGGAATAATTTTTCCTCGCAAAGAGAGTCTTTCTGGCTTTAAGTTCTGTGGCAGCTATCCCAATGTTACATTAGCTTTTTTAGATTGTTACTTTCTTCAAAGGAGATTCAAATTTAAATCTAATATCACTAAAAAATTGGATCAATATTCCTAGCTCTAGTTGTAGGCAACAAGCCAAGTACTGAACTATGCAGTATCTTCAGTTGAATTTGAACTGAGCCGAGTATGGATTGATTTGAGGTTTCTGATGACGTTTATAAGTGCATGCGTCTACCTGAATGATCTCAAGCTTAATGGTCATTTATCTGAAAATAACTGCAGAATGAGTAGAATGATCATTATCCGGATCAGGGGCATAATAGTTATTTATCCAGAAATAGTTTCAAGTCAGCTGTTTTCCAAACACACAAACCAAACAACCAACCGACTTATTTAAATCAGCTGCTGATCAGCGGCTTATCATGATAAACTGCTTATTTGGATAAGTTGGATAAGCTGCAACTGTCCCAAACATACCCTAAATCTCTAAATTGTGACGTTATACTTAGGAGTTAGCCTCTGAGGTTATATATATATATATTATAAAAATTAATGAAAAATATTTTAAAAAAAATTGTCTTGTTATTCATTACCCGTTCAAATAATATCAACTTTTATATCAGCAATGAAGTGGAAAATATTGATATGATAGAATAGCATAACAAATAAGAAAAAAGCTCTTGTTATTTAAGGCAAAGGATTGAAGTGTTTTTTTTCTTTATTTTATTGCAAGTATTTTGTACAAAATAATAATTTTGAGTTTTTTTTTTTTTTTGTTGATTGATTTAAAGTAAATTAAATAGAAAGAGAATGTATGGGGGATCTAGAGTATCTTATATTGCTTATTTTTTTAATTTATAATTCTATTAATCTAATTGATTTTAATTTCAACAACCACCATTTGATGTCATTTGTTATTATTATAGTCGACATTGATTGTGCGCCACCACCACTCGTTCACCTCATATGTCATTGTTCTTTATTGTCTCATGTCATGCTTCACTATTGTCATCTCTCATCTTTAGCAACATGCCACCTCCCAAAAGAGTTCTTAAGAGAGGTGAACACCCCTGACTTAAATAATATTTTTTGACTTTGCACCTAGCCGAAGTAGGATTTTTTGTCCGTGACATGTTGCAATAATTAAAATTTGACTCAAAATACGCATCATTTATCTTCCTTTACATTTTGATTCATTTGTCATGTTGCAATAATTAAAAAAATTACATTTTAATGCATTTGATTTGCATTCAATGCAATAATCATTGTCTGTTTAAAATACATACATCCTTAATAATATAATTTACAAATATGTGTATTTTTAATACAACTAACTCTTTTTTTTTTCATTGAAACAATCAAAAAATTTTGTCGTGCAAATAATTTCATTAATCTAATAACTTAAAATTTTATTAAATCAAATAAAAAAATAATTGATAATCTTATTTATGTATGGAAATGTTCATTTTAATCTTTGGGAGTTAAAATGGTAATATTTTTTATGTGATTCAAAAAATGTAGGGGCAAAAAAGTAAAATTTAATTGTTAAATACGAAAATACAATTCTTGGGTGGTATCCGCATCTACTTCCGATTTGCTTCGCGCGCTCGAACAGCTGAAAATGCGTCCTCAGGTCAAGAGTCAACTGCCATGGCGGCGGCTTAATCCTTACCATCCCTCTCCACCTAAGCAGGCCGCAGCTAATAGTTTCATCTCTTCTCACTCTCACCCCCCCGCCCCATGGCTCCACCCTCAGATCCGACTAAACCCTCCATCCCAATTTCTTACCCCATCACTGACCTCGAAACCCTAATCTCACGCTCCTACTTCGACTCGTTCCACTACCCCTTCAATGTATCCTCGGTACCCCTTCCCGCGGCCTCTGTGGTGACGACTCTTCGAAGGCGTATTCTCGTCTGCCACGATTTCAAGGGTGGGTACAATGACGATAAGTGGGTTCAGGGCGGCAGCAATGCCGGCGCCTACGCTTTTTGGCATTGGTACCTCATGGATGTATTTGTTTACTTCTCCCATTATCTCGTCACTCTGCCGCCGCCTGGGTGGATCAATGCAGCCCACACACATGGAGTCAAGGTAATTACTTGCGGCTTTCTTTTGGATTGGATTAGTGGTTTTTGTGATACTGTGATATTCTGTTGATAAGCGGTTGGATATTCGAACTTTGGCTTTTGGTGTTTGGGGATTTGAACGCTGAGGTCCGAAGCATAATAGATGGAATGGCTCAATTCGAATGTATAGAACAGTAACGATTTAACCATTTGGCGTAAGCTGCCAATTCCTGTTTTAGAGAGTTTGTTTCTATAAATCATGACAAGTAAATGGATTTTTGGAGTTATATAAAACAAAATTTCTGGAACGGTGAAAACGTGCTTATTGAAGCTTACGATTCAGACTCGGGGGTTTTTTTTTTCTTGCAGCGATGGTGTAGCGAAAACATGGTTGCAGGCTTAAGTTCTTAATTTGTAAGAGTAACTGAGTTGAAAAAATAGAACGGAGTCCGTTTAGTTGTTTAAGTTCACAAAGAGCATACTTATTAAATTTTTTTGAGAAGCAATATTGCAGCCAATAAATAAAGAAGAAACATGGCGCACAAAATATTAACCAAAGAAGCTTTTTTATTTTATTTGAAGTTTGTTTTACGTAGACAGATTATTAATACATTGATTCTGGTTGGAGTTATGACATTTAAAACCATGGCCACAAATAAGTTTGATTTGCAACTTATAAAGAAATTAGCAAATGTGTATGGTTTTTGTTGAGTAGCATATTGATTGTCTCATAAGGATTTTTTAACTTAAGTTCACACAAATCATTTGACAGAAATGTACCCCATCATGAACACGATGATGATCGTCATAATCATTTTATACTTATTCCAATTATTTTGTATCAAGTGAGTAATCCCTCTTCTCTATGCCTTTCTGTTGAATGTTGCATGTATTCCTTTTTCTAGTTTAAATACATGTTTTCTATAATTTTTTATTTGATTCACAATATTAATCCAATCAGGCACACATTTTTGTGATTTTTCGAATGAACAAAAAACTCAAAATTAAATGTAGAAACTTTGAAAATTATTTTAAACTCTTATGCCAATATTTTTGTATTCTATACAATGTGGTTCAATGAGATAAATTTAATTGGAACAAAATCTCATGAATTGGAGCCCATTTGACCAAAATCATGTGATTCTCCATACCCTTCCTTTTTCTTTGACCTAGGTCTTGGTCGTTACCGTCATTGAATGTCTCCTTAACAGTATTTAAAACCTATATTTAAATCAAAATATTGTTTGATTTTGCATTGAAAATGATTGAAAGATTAAAACTTCTCGAAGACATCGGGACCTCTTCAAGACAAACAAAATAATGTGCCATTTACAACATTGAGAGTGGCTTCTGGAAAGAACATTTTTGCCAAAAAAGAAAAAAAAAGGGTTTTGCAGTTCTATTTTTTAGCGTCTCATAACTTGGATGAAATTATTGTGACTCTTATGAGCCTTTGATTGTGAATCATCACGATATTACATTTCTCTCAATAAATTCATACCTTGATTGTTACCTGTAGTCCCCATTTTTTGATTATGATAAAATCAGTTTCCACATAAGAATTGCTTTATATAATCTGAGTATTATATTTTTTATTTTCTTACTTTATTACATTCATAGTTCATGGCATGGATAGTTTGATGAGGCCCCCTACAATTCACCAATCGTAGACCCTTCATTTGGAGATTGCTATCGGAACATTGCCACACCACCATCGGAGCATCAACAAACCACCTTTGTCAGCCTTCAGTTGGATGCTTAGGACAACGCCTACTTGGTCACATGAGGTTGATCCAAAGGCAATATCATCTATTCACCTTTTGAAATGAGGAGGACTCAACTTGAGGTGTCTGGTATAGGGTTCCACTTTGGCATGTCATGGTATAAAAGGCAATAATGTCCCTTCAGAAAGCCATATTTGTGGATATTATGGACAACAAATAGAAATTTTAGATTGATAGGCGATCTCTCATTCGGAATAAAACCTATAATCGGTTGTTGTGCTATTTTATTCACTTGCATTTCTCTTCCGTTTCCTTTGTTGCCTTATCTTCCCTACTAGTTCGAGATGGGCCATGCGGATTTCAAATAAATATGTACATAAATTTAATGCAAAATTTTATTTTTTTTAATTTCAATAGACTTGTTATTGTGTACAAATTATAGAGGAATTATATTAATGTTTCATACATTAAAATTATGAGAGGGAGTAATTAGACACAGGTTTTGTCGTGATATAACAATTTCTCGTAAGCAGTTTGAATTTATGCAGGGTAATTCTACTAGGAAAGCTATATATTTATTGAGAGGTTTGATGGAGAAGTAGAAACAGAGTAAAGATGATTTACATATGATTTTTATTGATTTAGAAAAAGCTTACGATAAGGTTGAGAAGTTCATCAGAGAGTTCTAGAAAAGAAAGGTGCCGATATGAATTATATATAAGTCATTAAAAATATGTATATTAAGAGTTGTTACTTATGTTGGACAGAAGGAGCATTGATCAAGTATTTTCCTACTTCAGTTGGATTACATCAACGGTCGACTTTAAGCCAATATCTTTTTGCTTTAGTTATGGATGCACTTACTGGAAATTTATAGGAGGATGTTCCTTGGTTTATGCTTTTCGCTGATGATATCCTTCTTTTGGATAACACTAGAAAGAGTTTAGGATAAAATTGAATTATGGATTTCTACAAAAGAGTGTAAAGGCCTTCGTTTGAGTACATTGAAAACTGAATACCTGTAATGTAATTTTAGTAGTAGTAGTTCTAGTGATAGAGCTATAACAATAAATGATCAAATAATTAGAAGGATTAAACATTTTCCCAATCTCGGTCGGGTCTATTGTTCAAAGTGATGGTGATATAGATGAGGATGCTATTAGTAGAATTCAAGTGGAATGGTTGAAATGGAGCAATGCGTCTGGCCTATCGTGTGATAGAAAAGTACCGCTTAGACTTAAAAGGAAAAATTTATAAGATAATGGTGAAACCAACAATGCTTTATGGCACAAAATTTTAGCCTTTAAAAGAGAAGCATAAAACAAAGTTATGTGTTGCTGAGATGAGAATGCTTAAGTGGATGAGTGGCTTGTCTCTTAGAGATAGAATGCATAATGAATGTATCCGTGAAAGGGTTGGTGTAGCTCTAATGACAGACAAAGTTAGAGAAAATCATGTTAAATGACTTGGTTGCATTAAACTTCGACCATCTAATGATCTGGTTAGGATAGATGTTTTAGATTTAACTTATGTTAATACAAGTAGAGGTAGACCTAAAAAACTTGGACATGTATAAAGATTGATCTTAATTTATTAGAATTAAATGAAAGGATGGCACTAACTAGTGAGATAATGACTTGTTGTTGTTAGTATTTATTTAAATTATTTGATTGCAAAAAAGTTTACTTATTACTCATATATTCTTTATTTATTTGGTATAAACTAGTTAAATGAAAATTAGAAATCTATTCAACTACTTATTTATTTAGATGCATAATTATTTTCCCATAAGATGTATAACCAGTTGCTATTAAAGTTTGATGATGAACAAAGCTTCAACAAGTGAAAAGCTTCAGATCGTTTTTCACCTTTAGTGAAGCACACTTCTCTCTTCAACCCAAGGCTTTCCTGAGGGTTGGTTGGGTTTTCATGCTGATTTTAGTCATGAATTTTAAAAATCGTGAAGGGTCGTGAAATAAAAATCCTAGAAAAAAGTGGAGAGGCAAATTTTAGGAATTTGTATTTCCAACAATACGGAGATGTCAAAGTCCTTGGATTTTTGGCCTTTCAATGGAATTTCTTATGTTGATGATGTGGTGCAAGAAATCTAGAACAACCAATTTTAATATATTTGGGGAAATGATACTAGTAGAGAAATCATGGAAATTTTTGTGGACTTTCTGGATATACAAAAGAATATCTTTATTCTTTTAGCTTCATTGTACTAGGCACGTTCAGTTGCAGATTATAATGTTGACAATTGATACGGTACTATTGAATTGCATATATTGTTCAAAATTGAGCATCTGCCCTACATGACGATGAAGTGTTTGTTGGTGAAGTATTTTTTGATGTAATTTTTGTGATGTAGCTTTGTAAACTTATGTTATTTGTTTTAACAACTTTCAAGTACTTCGTTTTATTTTTGGAAGCTTTAGATACATACCACTCAATTCTTATGTATTTACATGTCAACAACCAAACTTCAATTTTTACATATATGCCACCTTACTATTCATGAAAAGGTGTATTTCACTTTTAAAAGTTAAAATAGTTGTATTTTTTATGCTGATATGAAAGATTTAGGTGGTATAAATGTAAAAAATAAAGTTTAGTTGTTAGATATGTAAATGCATATGAATTGGGTGGTATGGATAGCATATGAATTGGGTGGTAATGGATATAAATGCACTTTTATTTTCTTAGATACGTTGGTTTCAGTACTTCTGTCAATGTATCTGAAGGTACTGGGGACATTCCTCACTGAATGGGAGAAAGGCAGAGAGATTTGCAAGACGTTCCTATCAACAACTGAGTCTGCAATAACATATGCTGAACGGCTGGTCGAATTAGCTGATAGATTGGGATTTGATGGCTGGCTGGTATTGCTTAAATTCATGCCTCTCTCTTGCATTTACTAACTTGTCTGTCTTGGTTGTGTACAACTGCTCTTATTTCTTCGATTGGTGATAAACTTGGTTTCTTTTCGTGCAATTTGCTTCTGGTTTGTTTGGGATCAATTTGCTTTTCATTTTTATTTTTGTTTTTTCTTTTGTTTTTAAAAACATGTTTTTTTAGCATGCTTATTACATGTTTTTATCATTTATTTCTAAAATCAAATTAATGTATTTTTGAAAATACTCAAAATAATTTTTAGTTGTTTCATGTGTTTTTAAAAACAATCATACTTTAATAAAATAGTCAAACATATTTTGTTTCAAATCTAAGCATAAGCGAAACAAAATAAAAAAAAAACAAAAAAAAAAAAACTAAAAAAAGACCAAAGTGATCTCAACGACATTGTAGGTGTTGTTTGGGATCACTTTTGTTTTTGTTTTCCATTGATTGTTTTTATTTTTGTTTTGATTTTAACTTAAACATACTTATGGTACCTATTTTTAAGAATAATCAAGTCAACTTTTATGTGTTTTGAGTATTTTTAACAACAAGGTGATTTGCTTTTAAAAAGAAAAAAATAAAAATATGTAAAACTTATAGTAACCAAACATGTTTTCAAATATAAAAGCAAATATGAAGATAAAGTAGAAATCAAAAGTGATGTTAGATGGGCCCTTAATTTTTCAACCTATTTTGTTTAACTTCACTGTATGTTCAAAAACATTATTGTTTTTTTGGGTAGTTTAGTTTGTTATTTTGGACCTTTGACTTTTTTTATTTGCTACTTTCAGCCTCCGGTTTCTAATTAATACCTTTGCACACCCGCAACCTACCACCTACCCACTCCCTCTGCCCGCAGGCCCTCAAAACAGGAATCAGATTTGCTTCTTTGCCTTCTAGTTTCTCTTATAGCTTTTCTTAAGAATGAAATGATTGTTCAACCTTTGTGGATTGTTCCTAAATTCCATAAATTTAAACATGATCTCTATAAAGACTTATCATTGGAATCACGTAGAGATAGTCTATCCGTAATTGTAGTTAGTTTATTCAGTTTCATTTCTTGAATATCTTGTTTCTGACATGTTATTCAGCTAAACATAGAAGTTCCATTACATCCACGACAAATTCCGATTTTGAAGCAATTTATTGACCATCTGACTCAAACTATGCACAGGGTTGTCCCTGGATCTCTTGTTATATGGTAACTCACTGTTTTCTAAGTTTCCCTTTTTAAACCACCCATACTCAGGTAAATACCTTTTCTTCATTTATTGCCTCTCATTTTGGTGATGCAGGTATGACTGTGTAACTATAGATGGTAAACTTGCTTACCAGAATCAGTTAAATAAAAAGAACAAGCCCTTTTTTGATATCTGTGATGGTATATTTTGTAATTATAGATGGAAGGTATGTGTTAAGGACCATTTACATGCATATCACACAATTCCTTTGTATTTACATATGTAACACCTAAACTTTGATTTTTTTAACGTTTATACCAGCCAAAAAATTCCTCACATAAAAAATATCACTATTTTAACTTTTGAAAAGTGAAATAAACCTTTTCATGCACAAGTGAGTTGGCATCTATGTAAAAATTACAGTTTAGGTGTTAGATATGTAAATACGTAAGAATTGAGTAGGGTTGCCAAAGCGGCTTGTTGTTCGTGAACAACTCGTGTTCGGCTCGTTAATAAGCTCGTGTTCGATTCTTTCGTTGAGTTAACAAGCCCAACATGAACACGTTTTTGGCACTTGATATATAAATGAGTCGAACACGAACAAAGATTTGTTCTTTCGTGTTCGGCTCATTTTGGCTCGAAATACTACTCATCAATTATATATATATATATATAAAGATTTATAATCAATTAAAATTATTAGTTAAAAAATAGAATAAAAATATGTTAAATTATATTTAAATGATGTTTTAATATAAAAAATAAGATTTAAATCTTGCCCCAACCCTTAACATCCTACAATTGCATGACCAGAGTTGTCAACACGACTCTTTGTTTGCAAATAGCTCGTGTTTGACTCACTAAGCAAACGAGCCTAACACGAACATATTTTTTGTGTTCGAAATATAAGTGAGCCGACACGAATAGTGATTTTTTTTTAATGAGTCAAACACGGGCTGAGCCTCGACTCGCTCGTGTTTGTCTCGTTTACACTCCTAGAATTGAGTGGTATGCATGTCAATCTTCCTTGTATTAATTTCTTTGAGTATTCTTTAACGTGAACCTCTTTTTGTTGTACTTAATTTTTTCATGTTTTTTTTTTCTTTTTTTTTTTATACAGAAAAATTACCCAAAAGATTCAGGTGCTGTTGCAGGTGATCGCAGGTTTGATGTATATATGGGAATTGATGTTTGGGGCAGGGGTACATACGGTGGAGGAAAATGGAATGTAAGTAGCCTGAATGACGTGGCAGCCTTAATGTGTAATTTAAACAAGTTCTATTGGTGGCTAAGCTTCACTTATATGTTGTAACAAGAACCTGATTCAACATTAACATAAATTGCAGCGAGAAACTTGAATTGTCATTATAAAAAAATTCTGATTAATTTTTTTTAAACTGAGCAAATTATTAGTTGGGGCATTTACATACATACTACCCAATTCCTATGTATTTTAATATCTAACACCTAAAGTTTATATTTTACTTATATACCACCCAAGTTTTTCATATCACATAAAAAATTCCCCAATTTTAATTTATAAAAAGCAAAATGTACATTTTCATGCATTGGTAAGCTGGCATGCATGTAAAAAATGAAGTTTAGTTGTTAGATATGTATACATTGAAATTGAGTGGCATGTATATAAATCTTCCTTATTTGTTATGGAAAATGCAGTTTGAACAGCTGGACATAAAATTGGGTTTGAATAGGCAACCTAAATTTTAGTTGTAGGGTAAATGCACTAATTCTGGTTGTACTTTGATGCGCTCTTTAATTGCTTTACATCAATGTTATAATTAAAGAGGCTATGGAGAAAGATTGAATTTTGTTTTTTGAGTTAATGAAAAAACCAAGATACATTATTAATAGACAATTAAGGATAGCTAAGTGGGGTTAGTCAAGGGCCCTGAAAGGTAGAAACTAAGAACAAAAAAATGGTTATTAAATGCATAGAATTAATTACTTCCTGATGAAAGTAAATAACAAGAAAACTGAATAAACTAACGACAATTGGTTTCGAACACTGGTTTAGCTGTATCTTTTGGACAATTTCTTACCAATGACAGTTTTTGTCTGTTGGATTACCACTTTCCTTTCTAAATCTTAGTATCTGTATTTTCATTAGAGTTTGAGAATTATATCTTTTTTACTTTATCATACGCTTCTTTTGTTGTTGGGAATAATTTTTCCCATATATTAGTGTGTCTCTAGCTTAGGTATGGTTGTTATATTTTCCATCATCCAGTTCGGGATTAATTTGATTCGGACATATTTCTTGGTAACTCCCAGCCCAAACGTGAGTAAACAAAGAGATGGGTATGGTCCATATCTTATTAAATGTTAAGAACCTCTATTGTGATTTGTAATTCTCGTTACCTTCATTAGCCTTATCCCAGCTAATAGTAGACTACTTATGATTCATAATATTTTCCTTGGATTATTACTTGCATTTATGTTTGTTACTTGCGTGGTAGACGAAGGTTGGTCTTGATGCACTGAAGAAAGATGATGTTTCCGCTGCTATTTTTGGGCCAGGATGGGTTTACGAAACTCAACAAGGACCAGACTTCCAGACTGCTCAAAATAGGTACTTGGTGAAAAACTTACTGTAAAAATTCAGCAATGACAAATTTTGTCAATACTAAATATTAAGTACTCCATCTCCTCGCTCAATGATTAACATCTACATTATCTTCCCTGTCTTTCATCCTACCAACATATTTTCTCTAATCTTCATTATTTTCCACTTATGGCCGCGCTAAGCATTACTTGTGTTGTTAAATGTATCGGCGGTTCATATAACCATCCAATATAACAAAATTTAATGCCGAACACCTTATGTTTATTATAATGTAAATTATTACTATTTATTTGTGGTTCATCTACTGTGGGATATTGTACAATTTTTAAAAGAGAAACTAGTTAGTGATTTTATGTCTTTAAGATCAACAAGGCATCCGCATATTTGGAAAGTTACAACTGTGATATTCGTTCAGTGATATAGCTCAATAGGTGTTTCAAAAGGATGATGAAATATACTCTCAAGGATAGATAAGAAATATGGATTTTGTGGTGGTGGAAAGGTAATGAGGTTGGCTAAATGTTATTTCAATGATGCATGGGTTTATTCTCTAGCAAACCATTAAATGTGGATGCTGTTACTTCTCGGCTCCCTGTCATATGTTGTCCATTTTCTTGTTGAGATGGATATTTCTAGCCTTTTGGCTTAATAGCCATGGATTGATATTTCTTCAAGTGGCCATTAGCAAGAAGTAGAATTTAAATGTTTGCCCTTATGTTGCAAATTTCGTAAATTTTTTTGTCTTGAGTTTTTTTAATGCTTTAAAGCTTTCTCGGAATTAGGGAACTCATTCTTGATGGTTTCATTTGCTGACGTAAGCTCTTTCAATCATTTTATGGGCTCACAAAATCATTGTGCGGCATGTATTCATCATCAATTGATGCTTTCTAGCTTTTTGTATGATGCTCCCTCTAACTTGGTTTTTTTGGAATGTTCCTATGATTTGAATATTACTTGAGATTCATGTCTCGAGTTAGTGCTTTTTCTTGTTGCTAACTTTATTGGTTGGTAATGCCCCATCATTTTCTCTAGTTTTGGAAGTTGAGTCTCTTATTTAGCTTGAGCCTTGCTTGGTTCAAAACATTTACTAGCTTATTGAGGATTTTTTTACCTTTTTTTCCCCTCTCCGATTGCTACTATAGCCATGCTCATTAATGCTAAACAATATTATTCTTGCGTTGAGTGTTTTGATGGTTCTAGCTCGGTTCAATTTCAAGATTTCACTGGAAGTTTAATGAGTATAGTGGATAAAATATTTCAACTAGTTTTATTTCATCGAGCAACTAAAATATTTCATCTAGTTTTTTGTCATATTCGGAGCAAAACATTATAACTCTAATAATTTTGGCATTGTGGACTTGGTTAATGTTCGAGTCAGAGTGAACCACTTATCTAGGATGTCATTTCTCTCTTTTTTTTTTAAAAAAAAATTTGCCTGATCTAATGTATTTTCCTTTTCTCTCTCGATAGCAGTTTCATATTATTGCTTTGCCAGGCACATTTTTTACCTGCTAGTTATAAAATTCATCTCGTAAAGAAAGAAACTATAGCCTAACTCTCTGCCATTGCATTCTAAAGCCTAATCCCCTCATTGCAGCTCACAATTAAGGCCACTACATCAATCCCTAGCCTACATCATCCGTTAAAATCCACTAACATAATTATTCTTTCATGGTAGCTCTCAGCCACCATTAAATTCCACACATCCCTTAGGCTCCAAAAGACCACTTCCTCTTCCTCTCTCGTATCAAACAAGAACAAGGGACTTCCTTCCACATAAAATCCATTACATCGGAGTGCAAGCAACATTGCTGGGAGATACTACAAATCCTGAGCCGATTGACAGCTTAGAAGCTTTTGGAGCTGAGATGTGATGAGGGACACAACGTTAGGCTCCCACATTGTCATTTATAGAGACTTTGTGTAACGGGCTGTGAGCTGCAGTTTGTAGGGTTTTGTTAATCTTGAGGCTCATTGTGTTAGACACGACAAGCCCGCCAAATAATTTGAAGACTTATTTTAGGTGCAAGGCTAAAAGGATGATTTAGTAATTTATTATTTATGATTGTGTGCTATAAATAGGGCTAATATGTTTAGGATTGGGGTTATGATGAGATTGTTGTCTTGAGTCTTAGGGTTAGGGTTTGGAAGAAACTACCTATCTCTCGAATCGTAGGTGCTAGGTTTAGGGTTTTAGATGGATCACCTTTCTTTTAAATTGTAGTTGCTCATCTCTTATGCACTTGAGTGTGTTGTTTGGAGTTCTTGTTTGTTTGTTCGGAGATGAATCAAATTAGCCCTAATTTGAATTTTCTCACATATTTCTTGCAATTTGTTTACTGATTTTGAATCTATTTCATATCGAATTGGTATCAAAGTTGCTCAGTTAGAAATTTTTCTTGGTGGAGACTCATCTTTTTGGGCGGAGACTAGCCACGTCAAGATTGCGGGCCTGTTCAGGGGAGGATCGTGGATGGATCGCGGCGTGCCAAGCCTCGATACAATTATAGGAAATGGTAGTTCTTGAAAGCGGTAGTTTTTGGAATTATGGCATGCCCTATTGCGCATGCTCTGTTGCGATAAAGTTGTAGTTCTGGGAAGAGCCAACAACAAATTTCTCATTCATGATTTCTCGCAGTAAGTTTCTGCTCTGCTCTGCTGCGATTCGAGCCCTAGAGCGGAAACTAGCCTAGTTGTGATTCGCATGCTAGGAAAAACCAACAACAGGATAGCTCATGATTTCTCGCTCCTGACCACTGCTCCACTCGATATAGATGAGAATTGAGCTAGCTGAAATGTTAACGATGAGATTGCAACGTACAAAGTTCGCCTTTGCGATTGAAAACAATTTAGAGAGTCATAGCGGCCAAGAAGTAGATGATCTGGAGAAGAAATTAGAAAGAGAGAGGTAAACTAAATCAGATTTGAAATGGAGGAGCGTTTCTCGTTCCTAGAGGGCGCTTCTTGTCAATGGAGGAGAGATTCACGGCTATGGAAGAAATGATGAAGAAAATTATGGAGCGTCAAGCGAATTTGCCACCGCTTACCTCTGGATCGAGCGCGACCTTAGGAACGAAAACGAGCAGTAGCAATATGAAGGATTTGTGTGGCATCAGTGCCGCATCGTTGCCTTAGGCGAATATGGGGCCGCGGGATCGAGCGAAAGATTTAGGAACGAACTCGAGCGACAACACTTGGAAGGAATAACGTGACATTTGAACGGTTGGAACAAACAGAAGCATGTGAGATAGAACGAAGGGGTCGGGAGTGGATTCGAGCGGTAACATTTGGAGGGAATGACACGACATACATGGGTTTGGAATGAGTGGCAGTAGACAGAATGGTACTGCGTGCAACTTGGGGCTGGAGATGTTTGCTTCAAAGAATTTCGACCTGGAACAGGAGACCACGGTCGATGTGACCCACCTCGACGAAGGGCTGCATCCAACCGCGCTATTGTTTTTAGCTGTGAAAGGCGATTTAGTAGTAATGATGAAAATAAGCTTGGTGGAGAAGAGCAGGGGAGTTTGTATGGGATTGATTTTGACACTGCAAAGTATTTAGGAGGGAGATGAGATAGTGGTGTTTCGTGGTGACCCTTGTTTGTGCAAGAACTTATTGTCGGCAAATCCATCATAAGTATCAGCTATGTTGGAGTGTCCTATACTTAAGATTGTGAAGGGATTGGGATGTTTTTCGGACTTATAGGTTACTACCGAAAGTTAACGAAGGGTTGCATTTCAATTGTGCGACCGTTGATAGAGAAATTGAAGAATGATAACTTTCAATGGGAGAAAGCGGTGGCCCAGACATTTAAGAAGTTAAAGATGGCCATTGTGGGTGTACCCGTGCTGGCTTGACTTAATTTCAACCAACCTTTTATTATAGAGATGAATGCTTCATGCTATGGATTAGGCACATTCCTCATGCAGTGTCAAAGTCCCATCACTTATTTCAATCAAGTACTAACTGCAAGAGCCAAGCTCGAGTTCATTTATGAGTGGGGCTTATATGATGTGATCCAATAGCTGTTTCCTTTTTTTCTCACCTTGAGGACATTGTGTCTTTTTGGGAGGGGAGTAATGTTTGACTGGTGCCAAAGGACAATTTAGTGTTTTGATAGTTATTTTTTTGTGAGGGTATAAACAATGTTACTATGTTTAAGGTTAGGTTATGATGAGATTGTTATCTTGAATATTTGGGTTATGGTTTTGAGAGAGATCGTCTACTTCTCGAATTGTAGGTGTTAGGTTTAGGTTTTGGGAGAGATTGCCTACTTTGCTTATCTTTTATGCATTCGAGTTGTGTTATTTTGTATTGGTGAAGTAAATAATTTTATTTGCCCTAATTTTCTGATGGAAATTTGCCTCCATTTCATGAAGTCCTGGAGGCAGGGGACAATGGGGCACACTAACTCGATTTCAGATTGTTGTTGTATCAGATGAAGGGGTTCGCTTTAATAATTCCTTTTTTTTCTGAATTTGTTGAGTTATAGGTATTACAGTATGATCCACTGTTTTCTGGTCAATTGTCCCTCTAGGTTAGCTGTGAGATGGATGAGGCAACTTGCTCGTGATTTTCTTGTAACTGAATTATCTTTTCTATATTTCAACACTTTTAATTTTTTTTAATACGTTTCAGCAGCACAGATTTCATTTGATTTTAAAATGGATCTTTTTTTCCTTTATTTTATTTTGATCTGTGCAGGTGGTGGTATATTGTTGAGAAATCATGGGAAGTTCTCCAAAGTTATCCAAATATGTTACCTTTTTATTCAAACTTTAATCAGGTAGAGTTAATATGCTCATTTAATGTCTTAATTGGTGCAGTGCAGTTAAGCAGCTATAAAATTGAAAGTTTGTGCCTATATGTGTTGGTGTTATGTGGCCTTCACGGTTTAAAGTCTATTCTAGCATAAAAGCTAATATATTGTCTTAATATAGCCTTGTCTTATCATGTAATATATTTGTCAAATATATTTATAGGGTCATGGGTATCAATATTCTATAGGAGGGTTTCGAGTTGCTAATAGTCCCTGGAATAACATGGCTTGTCAAGGCTTTCAGGTACCCTACTATTTCTTCTCAATTTCTGTAGTTGAACTTCACTTAACGCAATTTATACAAAATTCAGAGGTATTTATTCTTCTTAGTTTCATATATGATATCATTATCATTATTATTACTTCAGCTGCAGGATTAAGTAACATTTGGTTGTTTTTATTTTTGCACGATCCATTTGAACTGTAATCTTTTATTCCACATAATGGTTCATTTTATTTATTGAATAAAATATGATAGAAATATTTGGCTCTTTAACGGCTGGCAAATGTAATTATGCTCATATCTCATAATTGTGAAAGCATTAAAAGAAAACATGCTCATATGTTACTCTTGTCGAGGCATATTTAAGGAAAAAAAATTGGGTCAGGATCCCGACTGAAAGTTTGGTCAATATGAATCTCAAAGTTGAATTTATTTTGAGATAAGTGCAATATAATATCTGATTGATTAGTTGGTTATTATATTCATCGCAAAGCAAATCAAATAGTTTTGAGATCCATCTTCACTCAATTCTTTTCTTATTAAGGGATCCTAGTGAATCTCTCATCATCTATGGATTTCACAAATATTTTATTTGAAACATTTTTAGTTCTAATTTAAAATGATCTTTCTAGTTTTGGTAGTCTGATGTTTCTATATATGCTTTCACTATTATACATTGGGTTGAAGAGATTCAAAGATAAGGTTAGTGAATAGATGATGACAGTCTGCAGGATTATTGCAATTATTCAATAAAAAAAAGAAAAATTCACTTCATATTGTATTGTGCTCGTATAAAAGAAACAACAACAACAACAAAGCCGTAATCCCACTACATGGGGTCGGCTATATGAATCCTTTTTCTCGATTGCGTCCTATTTAGTGCCATATTTTCATTTAGTTCTAGTAAATTAAGATCATTTTTAATAGAATAAGCCCAAGTCTTCCTAGGTCTACCTATGTCTTTGTTAACACAAGTCGAATCTAAAACATCTACTCTCCTAATTGGATCATCATATGGTCGACGTTTAATGTGACGAAACCATCTAAGACGACTTTCTCTAATTTTGTCCATCATAGGAGCTACACCAACCCTATCACGAATATATTCATTTCACATTTTGTCTCTAAGTGTAAAGCCACTCATCTACCTAATCATTCTCATCTCGGCAACACTTATTATTATGCTTCTCTTTTAAAGGCCAACATTCAGCGCCATATAGCATGGCAGTTCTCACCACCGTCTTATAAAATTTTCCTTTCAGTCTAAGCGGTACTTTTCTATCACACAAAAGGCCCGAAGCATTCCTCCACTTCAACCAACCAACTTGAATTCTACTATTAACATCCCCATCTATATTACCATCGCTTTGAACAACGGACCCAAGATATCTAAATCGTTCACACCTTTTAATAATTTGATCACCCAAAGTCACACTTCTGTCACTAGAGCTATTACTACTAAAATTGCATTCCATGTATTCAGTTTTAGTTCTACTTAAATGAAGGCTTTTAGACTCCAATGTAGACCTCCATAATTCATGTTTTTCTCCATACATGTACACAATCAAACAAATGTCAATTTCTAACCTAAGAGATAGTTCCTTGGGAATGATCTCCGATGCTCAAGTTAGTGACCAAGTCATAGTAAGATCATTCAACTTAATTCTAATTGTAAGAGATGGCACTTCATGTTGATTCTTAGCATGTGGAGGCTTATTTTTCAGAGAGAAAGGTTTCAAGTGATTGAAAAGCAGATAAAAGCTGAATAAATGGGGGCTTATATTTATATATATGGCCAAGGATTATTTAAATAAGACAAAAAGACTAACGCTTCTTTGGAATGGACAATGAAGATCACACATACCTCACCAAAAATTGAACTCATAAAAAGTCTCCTGGTGACATTGGGCCTCTATGAATGGGAATAAAGAGGATTCACATGTTTTAGATCATAGTGGAGTCCATATTTTGGATTGGCAGGGACAATTTTAAAGACTTGTCTCCTCGATTAGGTTTGATGCAGCTCCATTATTTTCAAAGTTAAATTTGGTACTGTTTGTTGTTTTGAGTGTAGAGATTTCCAAAAGATATGATGTGCAGCAACTTTGAGCATAATGTTCATAATAGTGAATGAAGTTTTGGAGTTTATTGAATAATCTCATGCAAACAAGTGGGGCAGCGGTGACAATTTAGATCACTATTCTTTGCTGCGGGCGGAACCCAAATTTTGTTGGGTTGTTCGAGTGAATCCATGGGATTGGTTGAGTCAATCTGAGCTTATTCAGGTACTAGTCACATCTCAATTTAGTCTCTTACAGGCGCTTTGAGATTTATGCTTCATTTTACAAATTGTGCTTATTATTTTTATTTTTTTTTTTACATTACAAATTGTGCTTATTCATGTAAAGTTTCTCACAAACGCAATATCTGTCTTCTTATTTCCAATTATTTTATGAAAAGTCTAGCAAGATTTTTTGACAACTTATTTGTATTCGTGGGGCATTAATAAATTGACTACTAATACTTAATATGAAAATAAAGATCAAGTATAACATGTGATAGATTAATGAGTTTCCATACTAACTATTGATACATTTTTTTATCAACTGGAGTTGGGTCTTCCTTGATCGTAATTTTTTTTAAAGACTCCATTGGATGTTTGCAGCCTTGTATTCATCTCAAATTTCTTTTGTAAAAACAAGCAAACCTATGTGCTGAGAGATGGATTTCCCTTTTTGTTGTACAACTATTTGTATGTGTAAGAGATATTTTAAAGAGCATGCTTAGGAGATATTTTAATTGAGTTGGATCCTTGATTTCAAAATTTTAGCTAAGGCCCTCTTTGGGATCACTTTTTGTTTTCGGTTTTTCAATTTTGAAAACAAAAAAGAGTAGAAAACAAACCTATTAGGCTTATTTTCAAAACATAAAAAACACAGAAATTGTGTTTGCACTATTTAAAAAAAACAAGTTTTTCAAAGCATTAACTGCACCTTGCCCCTTGTTTGCGCCACCCCCCCCCCCCCCCCCCCCCCCCACCCCGTTAGCTTCCTACCACCGTCCGCCCTCTGGCATGACCCAACGCTGCCTGCCCTCCTACTGCCCGCTGCCGTCCGCACGGGTAATGTTTCGTGCTGGGTGGAGCAAGGAAGACGTCGTATATGCAATGGCGGCGGAACTTAATAATGGAGTGCCACGTGGACCCAATCAATTTATAAAAAAAGTATAATTTTGTATTTAACAAGAAATACCCGATCAAATATATTTTATATTTTGTGTTTTTAAAAACATATAAATCTTGACAATATTAAACCCGCTTTCCAAAAATAGAAAACAAAGCAAAAATAAAACAAACTAAAAACAATAAAATAAAATAAAAAACGAAAAGTGATCCCAAATAGACCCTAAGGCATATAGCTTGTTTATCTCTTTTTTATGATTACCTTTAGGATGATTTCTTATAAATGATTTTACCTTCATATATTTTCTGATTAATAAGGTTTGTTTTGATTGCCTTTGATAGGGCTCTTGCCTTTTAATCACTATGCTGAATCTATTGAATAACGTTCTTGGTAAATTCTTATGTCATATAAGAATTCCTTGAGTTCACATACTTGGTTTGTATTATTCATATTCTAAAGGCCAAAAGGACTTGTCATGTAAATTTTATGTTTTAGTCATGCATTTAGGAGGGTGGATGCTTTATATTCAACTTAAGAAAAGCAGATGTAGACCTAAAAAGATATGGGCATGTTAATTTGTTAGAATTAAATGAAAATATGACACTCAGTTGGACACAATGGATAAAAAAGATTATTTAACGGACCCCACTTAGTGGGATAAAGGCTTGTTGTTGTCATCATCGTCGCTGTTGTTGTTTTAGTCATCCATTTATGATTTCTTTTTTCTATTTTGAATTGATAAACTAATCTAAATTTTTAGCAAGTGAAAAGATGACTTTAGCTAATTTCAACTTAACAAGGGAGCGAAAGTTTCTTCATAATCAATTTCATATATTTGAGTGAACCTTTTGCGACCAAGTTTGCTTTGTATCCGTCAATATTTTCTTCTGATTTGTATTTTAATTTGAAAATCTATTTACATCAAACTGTTTTACTTTTGGGAAGATTTGAAAGTTTTTAGGTATTAGTTCTTTTGAGGGCTTAAATTTTTTCATGAACTTCATTTTTGCTCTTGGGCATTTATTGGGCTCTTCTTGAATAATATTTGGAATTTCTTGGTTATAAACATTGTAGTAAAAAAATGAAACTTAGGATGTAATATCATAGGAAATATAATGATTGATTGGTTGTTTGGTGCAAGTTCTTTTTTTGAATGCAGCAATAAGAGTAGTTAGATCATCCTTTGAAACAATATTTTATTATCCTTGTGTAGTGGTGTCAAAACTCAGGTTAAACATTGGGTTTGGTTTGGAGAATTGATTTGTTTTAAATGGTTGATTGATGTTTTTCCATTTTTTTTGAAATAAATAAGCCCTTTCTACCATGCTTGTTGTATGTGGTTTTCAAAAGGCTGAGATTTAGATTGGTGAGATTCAAGTAAGTTTGGAAGATGTGTATGCTGAGATTTTAATTAGGTAGTACTGATATTTTCACAAAACTTATATTTATAGTTGGTATTGATATTTTCTCTATATTTTTAAAAACTTATATTCATAGATAGAATTGATATTCTCCCCCTTAATGAGTTTTGGGAAAGAAGGATTATTTTCAACGAAGGTTTTATTTTTTGTCACTGGAATATTTTCTGTACTGGTAGAATAATATTTGTATCCTTGTAGATGAGGAGGGTAGCCAACAAAGATGCAATTCCTGAGTTTTGGGAACTTCTTGATGAAAAGAAATATGCACAAACCCAAAGCATCCATCTTGGATATGCTTGTGCTAGAGTTTGACATAAAATTTTAAAGTTTAGGATTCTAGTGACATATAATTAATGATATTTGCAACAGCAAGAGCAATGTTCCTTCAATAATTTATTGGCATGTCTTTAGTAATTATAATTGATCGATCAATATCCGGAAGGTGTCTATTTCTTTTTTTGTGTTTTCAGTATCCTATTTTATTGAGAAGTATGGATACAAAAAGATTAATGAATAATGTTAGTGGAGATATTGCCCAATAATGAAATGAAAGATTATTTTATATTTTCGGCCCTAAGGGCTTAAACTTGAGTTTTGGATTATTTTCTTTACTGGTAGAATAATATTTGTATCCTTGTAGATGAGGAGGGTAGCTGCTATTTGTTGGTAAGGGCTGGGTTCTTGAATGGGTGTGAATTGCAGGTGTTGAGTGCAGTTGGTGGGAATGATTGGCGCCTCAAGGTTGACTGTAGTTGGCTGCCGTAATGTCCGTAGATGTTGAACTTCCTTAAAATTATTAGAATAAAGAGTTTAAATTTGAATAGAGAATTTTACTGATTTCTTTATTAAATAAGTTTAAATAGTACCAGACTTCAGACCAATATAAAAAACCAAGTAACAATAATTTTGCAATCATTGTTACTTGGTTTTCGAGCTGATTTTGAGCCAACCCCAGCTCAGCTCGAAATCGGATTGTTGATTGGTTATGATTATGAATTTAGAAAATTTAGCTCGAAGATCGTTAATTGGTCAAAGATTGATTCAAATTTTGGCTCGGATCAATGTCGTATCGAAATAAACGAGCCGTGCTATGAACCAAAGTTTTGGATTGAATTTTTTTCAAGCCGATTTTGAGCCGACCCCAACTCAACTAGAAATTGGATCGTTAACAACCCTACTATCAATATGATCAAACAAGTGATGTGTACATTGATATTTCTAACATGATTTGAAGATGTTACAATCACGAGCATGGTCTCCATTGTGATTGTCTAGTCCATGAGAACTATGGTCACCTCTTGAGTGGAAAATGGTTTTGTTTTATCCTATTGACTGATTGGCAACTACTAATAGGAAAACAAAGAACATAAAAGGAATATGATAAATATGTAAATATTCTAAATTAGGAGTATATAATACGAGATTTAAAGCATATCTTACAATTCTAGTATCTTAAAATATTTAAAGCATATCTGCAACTTTGCAATCTTGTATTTTCCAAGATAACAATAACATTCTGTAATTTTTTTTTTCTATTTTAAATATGTTCTTTACTATAAATTAGTAGACCATAAGAGAGAATGATTGTTATCTTTATAGCCTAACATTAGGAGACAGCTCCTTTTCAAAATTGTATGATTTTGTTGAGACAGAATAAACTATTGTAAAAAAAGCTTAAGTTACTTCTATTTAATCAGGAGAGAAAAATCCTATTTTAAATGTTTCAAATCTACAAGGAAAGCATTTTATATCAAAATGGGCTTCTCTCCTAATGCTTAATTTGTAATACAAGTGAGAGGGGAGCTTCCCGCTTGGACCCTTTCCACGATTTCTGCTGCATTGCCACGATTTTCACTTGTCTTACGACTGCCTCACCGTCTGGATCGCGTGCATCAAAGTCTGGGCAGCATGGACTAGTTCATACTGAGATTCTAAGGGTCGACAGACCTTCCATACGTGGATTTATAGCCTCTTTGTGAGAGGGGTCCCACTCAGATTTACCCTAGGCCAATATATTATATTTTCTTTTTGTGTTTTAGGTTTTTTGTATTGGATTTTGTTTTTGTTATGATAGCCGCCAACGACCCCTGTTTTCCCTTTTATAGGTGTATCCAAGGGCGAGTGGTGCTCCGGATGCATCTCGTTCCAAGATGATGATTGTCTTCCAAGGGTTGAGTATTGCTTCAGCTGTCTATCGTTCCCTAGGGGATATTTATCTTTCCCTTTTCTACCATGCTTGTTGTA